GTGAGAAAGAGAGAGAAGGCAAGCTGGCCTCCTCTGGAGCCTTTAAAATTCTTAATCAGGTACAAATAAATTTATCTTCTACTTTTCTGTTGCACGTGTTATAGCGTTGGTAATTTTTTAACATGAACTTACCAAGGTTTACATTATCTCATTTAAAAAAGCATACATGTGTCATTCTTTGAGTACTTAATTTTTATCCGGTTTCTCACAACAAAAAAATTTATAAAGTCGGAGCGTAAAAAGTTCAATAACTTTAATAATGTATGCTAGAATATAAGCAAATAAAATTTAACATTTTGGGTACATACTTAACATGTTTTTTTTCCAGGTTTCTCCACGACTTAAATGCTGATTAACTGCATCGCATTATCACCACGCCTCTTTTCTTAACCTTTTTTTTTGTTGCTTCGGTTTTTTTTTTTTGTTTGCTATGAGTTGGGTTTTAAAAAAAGTTTGTTAATGGGAAACAGTTTTATTTCAAGGTTTTTATTTTATTTCCAATTTTATATTCCATTTAATATCAATTTATTAACGAAAAAATATCTATTCATGGAAGTACCCTGGCCCGCCCTCGAACATTTTTTTTTGGGGAGGTTTGTTTCTTTTCGGGGGTTTATCCAAAAATTAAAAAAAAGCCGGGGAAAATGAAAATTAAAACGCACCCCTTCCCTTTCAAAAAGTAACGCAGGGAAATTTTTCCAAAATTATAAAAGGACAAAAAATTTCTTGCAGGGGTTTCCAAAGGTTATAATTAAAAACTGGTTTAATATACTTTAAATTTTTTAAAAAAAAGGGAAAAAAAGATCAATGCCGAATATTATTTATCCCTCCACGAAATTGCGTTTTTTTTTAATCATTCATTCTGCAAGAAATTATAGCAATAATTTAACACAAACTCTTGGATATTTGAGAAATTGCATATGTATATGATAAACGTTTTCAAATCCCATTGTTTCCCTGAAGTAAGGAAATTGTTACGCCATTGCCCTTCATACCTCACTTCAACAAAGACTTTATATTACGAAGCTTATAGCTCCCGGTGTTTTCAGGGGACGGATTCGGTTGTTCTATATTTTCTAAATTAATTCTGTCATGAAATGAATTGAAGTTTCCCCCATAAAAATATTTTGAAAAGTGCTTATACTCGCGATTAATGCGTTAAAACCGTTGTTATACTTCAGTACCATATATGAAAAAAAAAAAACATTTTTCCGGCGTACCGCGAAGCACAATTCACGAACCCTGGGCGATACTCCATAAAAATGATTGAACCATATTTTATCAGCGTATTTTCATTTTTTACTTCACCAGAAGTTAATTTAAAGTCATTTTGCATACCAAAAATCGAAATTATATGCGGTATTATATGAAATTGTTTTGTACGTAATAAGAGCCGACAAAAAGTCAAAATCACGTTCAGACAATGGTCAAGACATTATTTTCAGGAATGAACTTGAAAAGTAGGCAATTTTGTGGAAATACTCTTGAGGATGGATAAAGTATAATGTCTTCGCAGCCGTATGCGGCTAGTCCTTTTTTCAAATTGGTTAAATAAGAATATATTGGCCAGTTTACTTACTGCGTTGGAAATCCTGCCAGGTATCCGCCATTTATTGCACAATTCTGGGTTACTTTTCCAGCGTTACCACCGTGCATATCAAGTACACATTCAGTTAGAGCTGACATATTAGCGGGTTGTCATGTTGCTTATCCAGTGACTACGTGTTTCAATAAAGAAATGAACACAATGGTTGATATATGTGGTGAAACACCAATGAACATGAAAATATTCAAATTTGAGTTAGAATTCTTTAAAGTAGTAATATAGAAAAGTTTTCAACTGGCTTCATAAAAGTGGCAAATATATAGTAAATTTTGCTTTACCTATTGAACAAAATGTTATTATACATTAGAGATGTCTTGAATTGGAAAAGCATGTATCATTAATTTATTGTATGACTTAAGCGCCGTGCCATACATTTTATAAATATTTTTTTCTTAAAATAAACGCAATGTACACATAATTCAATCATAGACCTTTAGTTAATAAATCCAAAAGACAATAGTCTGAAATGACTTTTTCAAAGTTTGAAATTTGTTACAGAATATTTTTCTTTTTCTCGCCTAGGGCTCGGGTTATATTTCCAAACACCCTTTTATATAGGGCCATATAACCTGTCAAAATATTTATAACTAATAATATAAACGTCACGATTATCCGACACAATAAACTTACTTAATAATAATAATAATAATAATAATAATAATAATAATAATAATAATAATAATAATAATAATGATGATGATGATTAGAATAAATGTTTGAATTATTTCTTTAAGAATTATGAAATAAAAATTTAGACGTCAGATCAAACCAATGAAAAAATCGACGTTGAACGTTTTTTACGGCATTTTGATAATATTTTCATAAGTGAGGACAATGGGGGGTGAGGAATTTAAAAACTACGGGAATGTCGAATAAATTACAATGAATGGAAAAAAAAATCAGTTATATATAGGCATGTATTAAAATATTGCTACACCCCCTGCTTGAAATTTTACTGGAAGTTACTCTAGAAAGATTTTAATTTGAGTATTAAAATGTACCCACTTCCCCAGATCATCAACCATTGAGGAAAAAAGAGATAAAATTTAGCCGAGCTTCTTCGTAACGACATTTTACGTGAGAAGAGAGAAGAAGGCAGCTGGCCTCTCTTGGAGCTAAATTCTAATACAGGTACAAATAAATTTATCTTCTATTTTCTGTGGCACGTGTTAATAGCAGTGATAATTACCATTGAAAACTACCAAAAGGTTTACAGGTCTCATTTAAAGCATACATGCATTCTTGAGTATTAATTTTTATCGGTTTCTCACAACAAAAAAATTTATAAAGTCGGAGCGTAAAAAGTTCAATAACTTTATACGTATGAAGAATATAAGCAATAATTAACAGTTGGTATATACTTAACATGTTTTTTTTTCCAGGTTCTCCACGACTTAAATGCTGATTAACTGCATCGCATTATCACCACGCCTCTCTTCTCAACCTTTTGTTTCTGTTGCTTCGCGTTTTTTTTTGTTGTTGTTTGCTATGAGTTGTTTGATAAAAGTTTGTTAATGAAAGCAGTTCATTTCAAGTTTTATTTTATTTCCAATCTATATTCCATGAATATCAATTTAGTAAGTGAACAATATACTAGTACATGAAGTACGTGGCCTGCATCGTACATTGTTTCGGTAGGTTTGTTTCTGTCGGTGTTTATCCAGTAACGCCGGAATGTGAAATTAAACGCACCATTCCTGCAAAAGTAACGCAGATTTGTGCAATATTATCAATGGCGGATACTTGGCAGGATTTTCAACGTGGTAATTAAACTGGTTAATATATTCTTTATTTAACCAAACTGAAAAAAAGGGATCGAATAGCCGCATACGGCTGCGAAGACATTATACTTTTTCCCTCCACGAAATTGCTTACTTTTAAGATCATTCTACTAGAGATGTAGCAATAATTTAACAAAGCTCTTGGATATTGAGAAATTGCTATGTATATGATAAACGGTTCAAAATCCCCATGGGTTTCCCTGAGTAAGAAAATTGTTCACGCATTGCTTCGTACTCACTTCAACCAAAGACTTATATTACGAAGCTTATAGCTCGGTGGTTTCAGAGGACGGATTCGGTGTCTATATATTTTCGAAATGAATTCTGTATGAAATGAATTAAAGTTTCCCCCATAAAAATATTTTTGAAAAGTGCTTATACTCGCCGATTAATGGTGTATTTTCATTTTTTTATGTCACCAGAAGTTAATTTAATGTCATTTGCATACCAAAATCGAAATTATATGCGGTATTATATGAATTGTTGTACTAATAAGAGCCGACAAAAAGTCAAAATCACGCTCAAAACAGTGGTCAAGCCATTATTTTCAGGAATGATCTTGAAAAGTAGGCAATTTTGTGGAAATAATCCTGAGGAGGGATAAAGTATATAATGTCTTCGCAGCCGTATGCGGCTAGTCCTTTTTCAAATTGGTGAAATAAGAATATATTGGCCAGTTTACTTACTTGTGTTGGAAATCCTGCCAGGCATCCGCCATTTATTGTACAATTTCTGGGTTACTTTTCCAGCGTTACCACCGTGCATATCCAGTATACAGTCAGTTAGAGCTGACATATTAGCGGATTGTAATGTTGCTTATTCCAGTGACTATGTGTTTCAATAAAGAAATAGACACAATGGTTGTTAATATGTGGTGAAACACCAATGAAGATGAAAATATTCAAATTTGAGTTTAGAATTCTTTAAAGTAGTAATATAGAAAAGTTTTCAAGTGGCTTCATAAAAAGTGGCAAATATATAGTAAATTTTGATTTACCTATTGAAGAAAATGTTATTATTCATTTAGAGATGTCTTGAATTGGAATGCATGTATCATTAATTTATGATGACTTAAGCGCCGTGTCATACATTTTATAAAAAATTTTTTTCTTAAAATAACGCATGTACACATAATTCATCATAGCATTTAGTTAATAAATCAAAAGACAATAGTCTGAAATGATTTTTTTCAAGTTTGAAATTTGTTACAGAATATTTTTCTTCTTTTTCTCGCCTAGCGGCTCGGGTTATATTTCCAAACAAGCCTATTTTATATAGGGCCATATAACCTGTCAAAATATTTATAACTAATAAATATAAACGTCACGATTATCCAATGAAAAAGCAACGTTATAAACGTGCAGCATTATAATGTATATCGGAGATGTCTACTGTCTGGGTGCTGTAACTCGATAACAAACAACAATAAACTTACTTAATAATAATAATAATAATAATAATAATAATAATAATAATAATATAATAATAATAATAATAATAATAATAATAATAATAATAATAATAATAATAATTAATAATAATAATAATAATAATAATAATAATAAATGTTTATAATTATTTCTTTGATTATGAAATAAAAATAGACGTCACGATCAACCAATGAAAATCGGCGTTGAACCGTTTCTGACGTCATATTTGACGTTGTTTCTATGTTATTTGCGCATTGTTCACAACAGCAATCTAAAGCTGAAATAATATTGTTAGTTTTCATTAGTTTATATTATTACAAGAAAATAATAAAAGTATGGGTACTTGTCTAGGAACACGTAAACCAAAGCGGAACTCTGTGTGTCCGTCCTTTCACGACAGATCGCCGCGACAGAAAGCACCAGAAGATATGATGAGGGATCTCGAAGAGGGTAAGTGGTTATTGAAAATAAAATCTGCTAAAAAATGTTAATGTCAGAAAAAATGTAAGATAAACATAGGTATATACTATATATCTACAGTTGTAAATGCATCAACTATCAAATCAATTTGCTTTTGAGAGTTTAATTAAGATACATTTTTTTCTAAATATCTATAAGTACATCGTATTTTTTTTTTCAATATTAAACCATTTTGCATTTCTTGACTTTTACAACCGTTACCTGGAAAAGTAACTTCAACAATAACTATCCTAAGTTTTTGTGTGTGATTGGTCAAGTTGGCAAATTACAACTGAATAGCCCTGTTGCAAATGTTTGCTGTAAATAAATTTCGATAATTATTATTTTACAGCAAATGTCGAGGATTCCAAACTTGCGTCAGCTGGTGTCTCATTTGTCGTCGATTTCAAAGATGGGGATACGACCAGAATGCCATCTAGGCTGGCAGACCGGCTTAATGGAACTGACAAACAAACCGAGGATAATAATGAGGTAATTGACTGTAGTGTTCTAGATATAACCAGATCTTTAACAACACAAGATCCGAAGGATAGTTTATAGGTTTAATTTTTACTGTAAAACTGTTTTATAAGAGCTGACTCTACAATTATTAGAGGACATATGCATACATTAAACTTAGAAAGTAGGGCTTATCATAACTGAGAGTAGCATATTACTTTGAAGACTAAAGCGAGTTTCTATGTACGGAAACTACATAACGTATTTTCATAATGAGGACAATGGGGGTTGAGGAATTTAAACTACAGGAAGGGTCTAATAAAATACAATGAATGGAAAAAATCAGTTATATATAGGCATGTTTTAAAATATTGGTACACACTGCTGAAATTTACTAGAAAGTTTATTCATGAATAGATTTTATATTTGAGTATTAATGTACCATTTCCAGGATCATCTACACATCTGAGGAAAAAGAGATTTTAGCCGAGCTTCTTCGTAATGACATTTTACGTGAGAAGAGAGAGAAGGCAGCTGGCCTCTCTGGAGCTAAATTCTAATCAGGTACAAATAATGTATCTTCTATTTTCTGTGCACGTGTAATAGCGTGGTAATTACCATGAACTACCAAGGTTTACAGATCTCATTTAAAGCATACATGCATCCTTGAGTATTAATTTTTATCGGTTTCTCACAACAAAAAATTATAAAGTCGGAGCGTAAAAAGTTCAATAACTTTATATGTATGTAGAATATAAGCAATAAATTTAACAGTTGGTATATACTTAACATGTTTATTTTCCAGGTTCTCCACGACTTAAATGCTGATTAACTGCATCGCATTATCACCAAGCCTCTCTTCTTAACCTTTTGTTTCTGTTGCTTCGGATTTTTTGTTGTTGTTTGCTATGAGTTGTTTAATAAAAGTTTGTTAATGGAAGCAGTTCATTTCAAGTTTTATTTTATTTCCAATCTATATTGCATGAATATCAATTTAGTAACTGAACAATATACTAGTACATGAAGTACGTGGCCTGCATCGTACATTGTTTTTGGTAGGTTTGTTTTTGTCGGTGTTTATCCAGTAACGCCGGAATGTGAAATTAAACGCACCATTCCTGTAAAAGTAACGCAGAATTGTGCAATATTATAAATGGCGGATACTTGGCAGGATTTCCAACGTGGTAATTCAACTGGTCAATATATTCTTTATTTAACCAAACTGAAAAAAGGGATCAAATAGCCGCATACGGCTGCGAAGACATTTATACTTTATCCCTCCACGAAATTGCTTACTTTAAAATCATTCTACTAGAGATATAGCAATAATTTAACAAAGCTCTTGGATATTGAGAAATTGCTATGTATATGATAAACGTTTCAAACCCCATTGTTTCTCTGAGTAAGAAATTGTTCACCCATTGCTTCATACTCACTTCAACAAAGATTTATATTACGAAGCTTATAGCTCGGTGGTTTCAGGGACGGATTCGGTGTCTATATTTTCTAAATGAATTCTGTATGAAATGAATTAAAAGTTTCCCCCATAAAAATATTTTTGAAAAGTGCTTATACTTGCCGATTAATGGCGTTAAAACCGTGTAATAATTCAGGACCATATATGAAAAAAAAATCACATTTTCCGGCGTTACCGCGAAGCACAATTCACGAACCTGGGCGATACTTCATAAAAATGGCTTAAACCATATTTTATCAGCGTATTTTCATTTTTTTTACGTCACCAGAAGTTAATTTAATGTCATTTGCATACCAAAATCGAAATTATATGCGGTATTATATGAATTGTTGAACTAATAAGAGCCGACAAAAATTCAAAATCACGCTCAAAACAGTGGTCAAGCCATTATTTTCAGGAATGATCTTGAAAAGTAGGCAATTTTGTGGAAATAATCTTGAGGAGGGATAAAGTATAATGTCTTCGCAGCCGTATGCGGCTATTCCTTTTTTCAAATTGGTTAAATAAGAATATATTGCCAATGGCCAGTTTACTTACTGCGTTGGAAATCCTGCCAGGTATCCGCCATTTATTGCACAATTCTGGGTTACTTTTCCAGCGTTACCACCGTGCATATCCAGTATACAGTCAGTTAGAGCTGACATATTAGCGGATTGTCATGTTGCTTATCCAGTGACTTTGTGTTTCAATAAAGAAATGCACACAATGGTTGAAATATGTGGTGAAACACCAGTGAAGATGAAAATATTGAAATTTGAGTTAGAATTCTTTAAAGTAGTAATATAGAAAAGTTTTCAAGTGGCTTTATAAAAGTGGCAAATATATAGTAAATTTGGCTTTACCTATTGAAAACAAAATGTTATTATACATTAGAGATGTCTTGATGCATTATCATTAATTTATGATGACTTAAGCGCCGTGCCATACATTTTATAAACATTTTTTTCTTAAAATAACGCATTGTACACATAATTCATCATAGACATTTAGTTAATAAATCAAAAGACAAATAGTCTGAAATGAATTTTTTTTTAAGTTTGAAATTTGTTACAGAATATTTTTCTTTTTCTCGCCTAGCGGCTCGGATTATATTTCCAAACAGCCGTTTATATAGGGCCATATAACCTGTCGAAATATTTATAACTAATAATATAAACGTCACGATATTATCCAATGAAAATCAACGTTATAAACGTGCAGCATTATAATGTATATCGGAGATGTCTACTGTCTGGGTGCTGTAACTCGATAACAACAACAATAAACTTACTTAATAATAATAATAATAATAATAATAATAATAATAATAATAATAATAATAATAATAATAATAATAATAATAATAATAATAATAATAATAAATGTTTATAATTATTTCTTTGATTATGAAATAAAAATAGACGTCACGATCAACCAATGAAAATCGACGTTGAAACGTTTCTGACGTCATATTTGACGTTGTTTCTATGTTATTTGCGCATTGTTTACAACAGCAATCTAAAGCTTAAATAATATTGTTAGTTTTCATTAGTTTATATTATTACAAGAAAATAATTAAAGTATGGGTACTTGTCTAGGAACACGTAAACCAAAGCGGAACTCTGTGTGTCCGTCCTTTCACGACAGATCGCCGCGACAGAAAGCACCAGAAGATATGTGATGAGGGATCTCGAAGAGGGTAAGTGGTTATTGAAATAAAATCTGCTTAAAAAAGTTAATGTTCAGAAAAAATGTAAAGATAAACATAGGTATATACTATATATCTACAGTTTGTAAATGCATCAACTATCAAATCAATTTGCTTTTGAGAGTTTAATTAAGATACATTTTTTTCTAAATATCTATAAGTACAATTATTATTTTATTTTTTCAATATTAACCATTTTGCATTTCTTGATTTTTACAACCGTTACCTGGAAAAAAGTAACTTCAACAATAACTATCCTAAGTTTTGTGTGTGATTGATCAAGTTGGCAAATTGCAACTGAATAGCCCTGTTGCAAATATTTGCTGTAAATAAATTTCAATAATTAATATTTTACAGCAAAATGTCGAGGATTCCAAACTTGCGTCAGCTGGTGTCTCATTTGTCATCGATTTCAAAGATGGGGGATACGACCAGAATGCCATCTAGGCTGGCAGACCGGCTTAATGGAACTGACAAACAAACCGAGGATAATAATGAGGTAATTTGACTGTAGTGTTCTAAATATAACCAGATCTTTTAACAACACAGACCCGAAGGATAGTTTATAGGTTTAATTTTTACTGTAAAACTGTTTTATAAACAACTGACTCTACAATTATTATAGAGGCCCATATGCATACATTATACTTAGAAAATGGGCTTATCGTAACTAAAGAGTAGCATATTACTTTTGACGACTAAAGCATGCTTCTATTGTACTGAAACCCCTAAGTTGTTTTTATAATAGGAAAAAATGGGGGGTTAGAATTTAAAATAAGGAAAAGGGGTAAATTCAATGAATGGGAAAAAAATCAGTTTTATATAGGGAATTTTTAAATATTTAAAATTGGTAACCTGGAAATTTTAAATAGTTTTATATTTTTAGTTTAATTACCCTTTTCATTTTTCTACACATGTGAGGAAAAAGAAATTTTGCGACTTCTTCGTAAAATTTTTCGTGGAAAAGAGAGAAGGCACTGGGCCCTCTGGCTAAATTCTAATAGGTAAAATAATTTTTTTTCTATTTTTTTGTGCAGTGTAATGTGTTATGATGTTTTCAAAAATCAAAATGCGTGTTTAATTTTTTCCCCTTCCCCCAATAAAAATTTTTTTAAATGAAGGGTTTAAAATTCAATAAATTTTTTGTATTGAAATAAGCAATAAAAATTTTTAAAGTTGGGATATACTTTTTCTTTTTATTTTCCCGGTTCCCCACGACTTAAAGCTGATTAATGCATCGCTTATCACCAGCCCCCTTTTTCTAACCCTTTTGTTTTTATTGTTCGGCTTTGTTGTTGTTGTTTCCCTATGAGTTAAATAATAAAAATTTTTAATGAAAAACAGTCATTTTTAGTTTTTTTTTATTTCAAATTTTTCCCGGGAAATTTTTAGTAAGTGAACAAAATCTAGTTTATAACCCCGTGCCGATTTTTCGACTCCCTAAAAATGGTATTGCACGGCCGTGCATATATTTTGACGTGACGTCATTAGCGTTATTCAAACATAGTGTAAAGACGCGCTAAATGTTAGCGTTATACTATAGAAGCGTCAATGAAAAATGACTCTTATTTTACCTTAAACGGTCTTTATTTTGGGTATGTGATAAATAGAATATTAAATTCGTGTAACTTCATTACTGAATTTATTGCACTCGTTGAATAAAATAATATTATGCTCGCCAGAGGCTCGCATAATATAATTTTATTCAACTCGTGCAATAAATTCAGTATTGAACTTACACTCATTCAATATCCTCTATACATGAAGTACGTGGCCTGTATCGTACATTGTCTCAGTCTTCTCATGCATGATCGAGATAATCGTAATTGTGTAATGATTATTGATTTGAATGCATTATATTTTCATCAAGTAATCGACCGACTCGGAAACATATTTCAAATCTGTTAGCTTCAACCTTATTGTTATCATTAATTCTCCTTTCAAGATATGTGATTGAATTATAGTCGAATACACTTCAAATACCTCTGCAGTTCTGTTCTTGCAATCGAACACTGTCTGAGTATGAACGCGGTACTAGCAACATGGTAATTTACTGTTAGTTTGTATATAGTATAGGTTAAAATACAGTCCGTTCAGAACGCGTTCAGAACGCTGCTTGAGTTCTCAGTAAAAATGTTGATCTAGATGTAAAACACTTCTGAATAAAGTTATCTATAGCAGTTATTGTTTCATTGTTCTCATTACACATATATAGGCATTCAAAACTGCCCAGAAATAGCAATTATATTTGTAAATTCTATCATGCATGTGTACTTCGATACCGTTCGGTATCTATTCTAATTCATGAGCATTTAGTGAGAGATTATCTAACTACCGAATCTTTTCGTAGATGAAACATTTTCCAATTTTGAATAAATAAGTTGAATAATCTTAATTTTTCACTTTGCTCTTTGAGCATTTATCTCAACGTCTGCTGAACGTTTATCGGAACGTGAGTCTGGCCGCGCAGTTTTAACAAGTGTTGATTATTTTTTATTATGATGCTGATGCTTGGATAATTTTAATTTGGCAAAGACAAGCATCATACTTGCTACCAAGCTATTTTATTGTTTGCGTGTAGGATTAAGCTTTCTTGAAATACAGAATATACTAATACATGAAGTTAGATAAGCATATAAAAGCCTACTTAAGTATTTGGTTTGCTCTCAAATTCGTGGTTGGTTGAGTCTTAATATATGGCGGAAAATGACGATGACAAAACTAACAAAGTTCTTTCCCTTTAATCCGAGGTAAATGGCGGGAAATGGCATTCGGTATAATTATGCTTGGAAATATATGATACACCACAGTTTAATTACATTCAGTTTAAGCCGTGATTACACATGGGAGATTCGGTACTGTGTTTTACATTCTTTCTGTCTGGAATGTGTAAGATTGCAGAAAAGCAGGATACACAATGCAAGGTTTTGTAGGGCAGACACGATTTAACTGATTACGGAAATGTTACACAAAGCTGAAAGCTAAGGATTTTGCAATAAACATTGCTTACGATTTTGAAAAAAATAACAATGAATCCGAAGGGAAACGACTGTGAACCCTGTTTAAGGGAAGATATCAATGTTGAAGCTACTGTGTATTGCCTGGATTGTTCGGAGAAACTATGTGAAGATTGTAAAAGACACCATAAGAAAAGTAAATTATTATTAAATCATAAATTGATAGACACAAGTGATGAACTAGCGGGCAAGATTGATTTAACAGACTGGGAGTATTTAGCAAACTTATCCAAATGTCCAATCCATAGTACTGAAGGAGTGAAATATCTTTGTAAAAATCATGATCAACTCTGCTGTAATGAATGCGCGATTGTTAATCATAGAAAATGTGAAGATATGGAATCACTGGCTGATGAAATAAAAGTAAAACAGGACGAGAGCAAAGAATCTACTATTGCAAAAAGACTTGACACTGTCGATAGTTATGTTGAAAAGCTGATTAAACACGAGAGTACATATTTAGTAAACATTGGTATGAAAGAAAATGAAGAGAAGGCCTGCTTGAAAGATCTTAAAGCAAAACTAGATGCCGCCTATAATAAACTTGAGACACGAATCATGTTTGGATGGTCAGAAAAGCAACAAGCACTTTCAAAATCTAGTTCCCTACAGAAAGAATCTGCTGAAAATCTGAGAGACGAGATTAGACAGTGTGGACAAAAAATTAAGAAAGCAAGGGAATTTGGAATAGAAACCAATTTATTTCTCCTTGAAAGAGAAATGGCAAAAAAAGTTCTCGAATTTGAGGAAAATTTTACCGCGCTTCGACAGCACTCAAGCAAAATATTAATCACTCTTTCAGAAGCAAGTCCACTACAAGAATCATTAACAAATATTGAAGATATTTATCAGGTAGAAAAACTGAAGGTTGAGCCACTTTTGCCTTCATTTAAAACTACTAAAGATTTCAAGAAAAGGACGTTGGCTTTAGAACATGAGGTTATGTTGAATGTGGATTTGCCTTACTTTTGCCTTTGGATTGGAAATTACATTGTACTATCATATAGTAAATCATCTAAGTTAGAAGCTTATAAAGCAGATGATGGTTCACTTTTAACAACATACCACTGGTGCTCTTCACCAACATCAGTAACAGCAACTGAGAATGATGAGTTTGCTGTTGCCTCGTCATCATCAAACAAAATGAATATAATGAAGATTAAACAAAGTCAGATAATCTTTTTGAGAAAATTAGCATGTCCAAATCTTGATCTGATAGCTTATGATGAAAAGAACAAACATCTTTTGTCATTGTGTTGGTCAGGAACGGTGATAAGAATGATAACACTTGATGGTAGATACGTTGGCTTCATCGACTTGATCGGTATCGTACAATCCCCCTGTCCATCTACCCTCAACTTTCATGTTGATTCTCAGTCTGGACATATCTTTATTTCATCGCAAAACAGTTGTACATTGCTTTGCATTGATATGTCTGGAAGTATTATATTCAAACATGAAATTGGGACACCATGGTCAGCTATTACAGACTCCCAGGGAAATGTTTATATTGTAAGTTGCAGCGGGAATCGTATTCAACAACTTACTCCTAATGGACAACCAATTAGATCAGACATATTAGGGGATTGCAATGTTGCTTATCCAGTGACTATGTGTTTCAATAAAGAAATAGACAAAATGGTTGTAATATGTGGTGAAACACCAGTGATGATGAAAATATTCAAATTTGAATAAGAATTCTTTTTAAGTAGTAATAGAGAAAGGTTTTCAAGTGGCTTCATAAAAGTGGCATAGATATAATAAATTTTGTTATTCAGAAACCTTACCTGTTGATCAAAATGTGATTATACATTTGAAATGTCATGTATTGGAATACACATATCATTAATTTATGATGACTTGATCTACCATACATTTTATATTTTTTCTTGAGTAAATGTACAAATAATTCATAATAGACCTTTAGTTAATGATATACAGTGGTTTGAAATGATTTATTTAAAGTTTGAAATCTTTTACAAAACTTTTTTTTCCTTATATCTATCTCGAACAAATAAAACCCTTTTCTGAATGTATGGAAATTTTGTTTAATATTTTTTAATATTGTAAGACCATATGGTCTTACATCTCTCATCGGAACTATTTGACCCAAGGGACACATGTTTTTCTTGACTTTGTGAAGGGCCACCAAACAATGCTACATGTACATGCAAAATCTCAAACAGTTTCAGACAGGAATGTTTAAATGAGACATACTAGTATGTAATTACAATTCTCAAAGTTTGGATATTTATATAGTCAGTATACTATAATGGAGGTTTATGTATAAAATACAACACATTAACTACTGTTACATTTCTTCTTTTTTATTTCAGGTGTATAAAATAAAAACAATAATGCAGCACATCTACATAATGTTAACAATAGAATTAATTTCTTGATTGAATAAAATAACAAAAAAGATGAAACATATACTTGCAGTTAGGCTGCAAGTGTTTCTTAACATGAAATTATTAAAATATTGAACAAATATTGATACATTAATTTTTATGATATTTTTCAAAAACAATGACACACAACATGAATGTTTCTTTCAGTTTACCTAATCAACAGTGGCACTTTTCTTACTTAGGGATTCTGTTTCTCTCTATTTTATGGGTCAGTGTCACATCATAATACATTACCCTTGAATTTGAAAAACTGCCCCTTGAAACCCTGTCCCCTCTCCTTGGGTAATATGTAACTGTGACTTTGAGGCCAGCATATCCCTAATAATGTCCCTGCATTGAGGGAACAATGTCTCCTAAACACCTTCCATCTGCTTTTTCTGACACACAAGCACATAATTGGTTCAGTAAATATAGGAATAAGGGGCAGGTTCAGTTCCCTGGAATCTTCCACACATTAAATTCAGTCAATATTACCTCATTATGCCAATGTCCTATTTACTCTATATCATCCTGATTTAATTTAGGTGAAGCTATGACTGGTACTGAATTGATATTACCTTATATCAATATCATCCCTGTTAATGGTATATGATTGTAAAACAAAACAAAATGGAGCAAAAATTTCCTTTTAAGGTCCATGTCCAGACATCATTTTTGGCAAATTATTTCTAAACTATGTGCAGTACTGTATTCATAGGCACATATGCCCCCACTTCAGTTGGCTGTCTGTGACATATTTACATACTATACTTAAAAAATTTTGATACAAGTCGAGAGTTACTTATTAATATTGCATTAATTATAACTAATAAGTCTCATAACCCTGTAACTGAGGAAACTCTAGCTTATGGTTTTTCAAGATTATCACATCAAATGTTACTATGACCTTGACATTATGACTTTAAAATTCATAGGGGTCACACACTGGCCATGAGAAATTTCCTTACAAAGTTTGACAAACTTAGGCTTATCCCTTCTCAAGTTATTGATCAGAAAAGCATTTTACACAAAATGTCAGTGTGACCTTGATCTTTGACCTCAAAATCAATGAAGGTCATCTACTGTTGTGGGCAATGTCTCTACCAAGTAAGGCTCCTCAAGTTATTGATTGTATTGTCCCTTATGAACTTGACATAATGACCTCAATATAAATAGGGGACATCTAGTAGTCATTGGCTAGGTCTCTACTAAGTGCAAAAATGACAGATTACTCAAAAAGTTATTGATTAGGCAAAGATAACAGGATATATGTGCAGACGTATTTGACCATCCCTTCACAAAATGCTCCCCAATTGAAAAGTAGGGGCATACAAATTTGAAAATAAAAGACAATATTTACAAGTGTAAAATATGATAAAATAAAAATATCTGTTTAAAAATAAAAAAGCACAGCTTGTACACAGATACATACATTGTTATACTGTACTTTAATATAATAATTATATATGTATATCACAAAATAAAACTAGTGGGTCAGTAGCTCCTGTCTTATACAATAAACAGTAAAACATAAATTTTACACATCAGTTTACAAAGCAAAATAATATATGTGATATGGCAATTAAGTATGTATGTAAAAACATTCTAAATATAATATGAAACATAAGTAGAAAATATATCCCTTATTCAACAAAAAATCCCTTACATAACCATGTCAAAATAAGCAAGTTTTGTTAACTTCTACAGAATTATGTTTCACTGATATACAATACAGTGTAGAAACCAACTGCTATCAAAGCCTCTGATTCTAGCTATACAAGATTCTAAACGAACATTATCAATACTTCATTTATCTTTTATGAACTATATAATTTTCTTCTGATTGTAAACATCCCTTATCATAAGCAGTCCAACTAAATATGACCTTTCACTGTACTTCCCTTATTTTTATGTCAACATTTTCAGTACCAACAAACTATAAGGAAAATGGTATAAAAACAAACTAACTACAGATTAATCACGCCATCAATGTAACCCTGTAACTGCCAAATCAGACAGTATTATCAACAGTGTTGAAAAGATAGTTCCATGTGTGGAATATTCCAATGGGAATATAAAAATCAGATATTCATGTCATGATCTAATTTCATTTAAAATATAATCATAGTATTGTATATTCCTTTCATATAAAACCCATATAAAGTCTGCATATATTTGTAGACAGTTATCATAAAGCAAATATGAGCAAGTTAAATTTCTGATAATTTAATATATATCACAGCTAAAGCTGTTTCTATAAAAGCAAGCTCGCAGTAAATTCCCCCATGACAGTGTCATATTATGTTACAAGTCATTTCTTCAATGAATAGAAATGCTGATTACAGATATATATCTTGCATCTCCCTAATACACCTGCATCTCTTACCTAAGGCAGCAGATATGATGTGAATTATTTTTTCTTGGTAACATTGCTTTTAAACTTTCTGAGATATTTATTGGGACAAAAGTATGTTTGATTATAACCAAGAAATAAGAGAACACATTTTAAATGATTCATTTGCTCAAAATCAGCACATTTGAGTCAGAAAATATGAAAAATACCTACAATAAAGGTTGTCTCAAGTTACGTTAAACATCGTTTTGTTTTAAAAATGGGGGTTTCAATTACTTTAAAAATTAAATAAACAATGTTTCTTGTACATACAGCCATATATTCATGTTCAGAGATCATTAAAAAGTATGTATGAATTCAAATATAAAATCATGACAGGCTATCAACTCAACTCAACAAGATACAGATGACAGGTCCATCAAGTAGAGATGCTTCCATGATTTATCATTATTTAACCTTTGACCAGAAGTTTCAGCTAAGATCATTAACACCAGTTCACATCCAAACATACAGACTGCTCATCCTATATAATATACTTCTGGAAAATTAATAACTAAGAATGACAAATGAAAAATTTTCCCACTTCACAGTAGATTTGTAAAATCTAAACCAAAACTCAAGACAAATACAATTAAGCAGATGGTCAACAGCTTTACAGTAACATTTTCTACAGAGCATGTCAATTAAAACAAAAGATTTACAGCTTAAATAGTGAAATCATGATCATTAACACCTTATAACGGCAATAAGCAATCCACTTTGTTTACTAAACTGAAGTATCCTATTTCATTAATTAAATCTGGTAAAAATGTATCAGAAACAGCCATAAAATAAATCTTTGAATTATATCAAAGTTAACAATACATATACGAATGTAATACGTTAAAATTTCAACATGATATTATCTATGTGGTTCCTACATCAGCTGGAGAGTTTTCTGTCATAGCGAATGTTAAAAGTGTTGAGGAGACACTGAATTCATTGAAAGTAAAGGCACATCATTCTCACTAAAAGTCTCAGATCCTTCAGAACTCAGAGAGCCATGAGAGTTGGCTCTTCTCAAAAAGCCATTATTAGTCTCTGATATCACAGTGTTGCCATGGTTATTGTCTGGTTTTGGCGTGGAATTTCTGGAATTTTCAAGAGCATCTCTATCAGAATCAGATTCATTTTCAGACTCACTATCTTTCATCAGAGTTTCATTATTACGTATATCTTGGTGCTCAATGCTAGCAATAGAAGCTGTGGCCTCTGTATCTATGCTAATATCGTCACAATGACCTTGACCCCTTGTGTTGGAGGTCAAAGAACTTTCTTGTAAATTGTTTCCAAGGATACATACATCATCAGATGAGTCATCACTATCTGCCGTCCTCATCCACTGGGCTGAAAGACTGGTAGAGGCTAATATATTTTCTACATCATCATCATCCCTATTATCTCGAGTATTTGACATGTTTTCTCCTCTAGAATGACCTTCACCTTGCTCTGCAAGATCTGTTTCACTTTCGATATCATCTGATTCAGAATCGCTTTCACTTTCAGACGGCAAGAGCTCAGCAGAGGAAGATGATCTTTCAATATTATTATGGTTCTCATTCTCTTCAGTTATTGTGCACAGCTGCATACCACTTGCTTCTTCATGTATATTTTCATTCTGGTTATTTGTATTGCTCTGATTTTCTGCCGCATCTCCAGGGTCTGTTTGTGATTGAGTTTGTTGGTTTCTAGATCGGCGTCTGTTCCCACGACCTCTATGACTTCGCCTGGAGTTTCTCATCCGTTCCAAGTATTCCTGCTGTACCTCGTCAAAGTTTCTAGAGGTGAGCATAGCCTCGTGATATGGTGGTGGGGCTCGTCGTCGCAAAAACTCAGCATACAAGCGGCTCATAGGTGTTTCGTGTCGTGGGTATCGGTGATGATGATCCATCGTACGTAGAGAATATAGCTTACAAGAGCAGCCTAGCAGGATAACCAATAACAAAGCACAGATCATTGACCCACATATTGCTGCTATTGTTACTCTTTTTGTTGTCCCTGAAAAAGATTGTTAAATGAATGCAATGCAATGATAGAGATAAATAACTTTGCATAAATATGATTATATTAAACTAGCAAATGGAATTTTGAAATTCTTTATTATATTCACCATAGACTTAGTATGAATCATCCTGTGCCAGTCAAAATGTGTAACTAGGCAATAAACTACACTATAAAGTTGTATCATTTATTTAATAAAACATATTATGATCAAAAGTCAAGTGTAAAACATAAATGGACAGATAGCCAGAAAAACAATGCAACAAGCATTTTGCTCTTAGCTTTTCCCTTTTAAATTCACCAGAAGAGTTTGACCAAACAATTCCTATTTATTGTGGGGTCTGTGTGAAGGCACTCTCAAAAAGACACTTTGTTGTCACTTGTGTGACATCAAGTATGATATAGTGTGAAACTAGAATATATTCAAACCTGAACAGAATTGTTCATCACTGTTATCACCACAATCATCTCTATCATCACATGTCCAAGATTCATAGATACAACGTCTGTTGTCACACAGAAATGTTCCGTTATGAGAACCACACAAATCAGACGCTGAAGCAACAAATTTATAAAATCAAGTAAAAACAATAATAATAGTCCAAAATTCAAGTTCTTTTTCTTGTCTTGGTCTTTACTTTTAACATGATGACTTTCTTACATGGACTTGTCTAGCTTTCATTTTTGGAACTGTTATAAATTTTGGGGATATTTAGATGTTAATTTGAAGTTAATCAGCCAACCGTATAGAGTCTGGTCAGTTAACAAGGATACATGTATATATCCTCAAGTGGCCATGATTCGTCACCCTAAGCATTTTACAGTGCTACTTTTTCTATTTTCTAATGCTCCAAGCAAGCCATGTTGAAGAAATTTGGCAGAATTATTAAATTTACAATGATGTTTGAAAATATCCAACTGTTTTCTCTCTTAACAAAAATTTGTTGTGACTTTCTGACATAGACAGGAAGGGTGTTGATTCTAGGACGGGGAAAAATTTAGGGCACCAGGCGATACAGGTGGGAAAGGCTTATGACTTTCAGTTTGATTATGATAAGTAATTATTACTGTCTTGTCAATGACCAATAATCAACCCTCGAAAAATGATTGTCATATTCTTTGGTATATGTAACAGAAACACCATATGATTATTCAATTATTCTGTAAAATTACATAGAGGTCTATAACTTCACACTAAAGGTATACACATACTGCAGTTCAGTTCATCAAAGCTGTTGGAACATCTAGCCAGGCCATTACATCTCTCCATAGGATAATAACACTGACTGGTCTTTATTCCACAGGTATAGTCCTCTTTACAATTACCTACAATGTTAAATATATGTTAGTTACCTAGCAATTAATGTTTCTTTAAAGTACATGAAATGAATACAATACATTTGGAACATGTTTAAAAAAAACATATTCAAGGGCAAGTAACTCAATGATGCTGGTGGCCCCCAATTCATTTCTCTCAAGATGTTTCTTTTTTTTCATATTCTAAGACCTTGCAAAGATATAATTTAATTCTACTATTTATTTAGCTTAAAATGTTTCTAATCATATTCTAAAACGATACAAAAATTTGATTAAATTACATAACCTAATTTTCTACATTTTCCACAAACTTGCAAAAATACAATTATTAATTATTTTGGATCAAATATAAGTAACATCCATTATTTAAACAAAGAGGACTACTGTTAAGATGCCTTGATTGAAGAATTTACATTAAGCAACCTTTTTCCTTTTTATAGCAAAGAAATATAACAATCTTTATCCATATGTTATAAGAAGTAAAACTTTACCACATCCAATCTCATCAGAGCCTTTCAACGGACAGTCCCAGATTCCATTACATCTATCACTTACAGCATTATAGCAGTTCATTTCACCATCACATGCTATCTGTGTTGGTAAACAGTCACCTAAAATCATATAAAACGAACCTAACATTTTATATTTAATACAAGAATTTGTAACAGAGTTACCAACGTCCCCCGTCTCGGGGAAGTTTTATATGAAGCATAAAATTGTGCTATTTCAAAAGATTGAGGTATGGATTTCAGGACTTTCAGTCCAAAATTATGATCAATGCTAGATCTGCAAATGCAAATGCAACAATAAATTTATTAAAGAAATACAAGTAAAATGAAACACAGAATTTAAAATTCTATCATGTTAACCTTTGACCTCTAAGTGTGACCTTGACCTTGGAGGTAGGGGTGCAGGTGTTGTGCATGACATATTTGTGCCAAGTATTTTCAAAATCCCTTGAACTATGTAGAAATTATAGATCGGACACAAAATATACCCTATAACAGACTATGTCAATCTTTGACCTCTAAGTGTGACCTTGGAGGTAGGGACCCATGTTTTGTGCCTGACATATATTGTGCAAAGTATTTTTAAAATCCCAGGTTATGGACTGGACACAAAATATACCCTATAACAGACTATGTAAATCTTTGACCTCTATGTGTGACCTTGACCTTGGAGGTAGGGACACATGTGTTACGCATGACATATCATCTTATCATTTTGACTATTTGTGCCAAGTATTTTCAAAATCCCTTGATCTATGAAAAAGTTATAGACGGGACACAAAATAAACCATATAACAGACTCTGTTAACCTTGGCCTCTAAGTGTGACCTTGACCTTGGATGTAGGGGTGCAGGTGTTGTACCTGACATATTGTCTTATTATTGTGACTGTGCCTAGTTATTTCAAAATCCTGAAGAAGTTCTAGATCAGACACAAAATATACTCTAAAACAGACTATGTTAACTTTTGACCTCTAAGTGTGACCTTTAACTTGGAGGTAGGGATGCAGGTTTGCGCATGACACATTGTCTTATTATAGTGACTATTTGTGGCAAGTATTTACAAAATCCTTTGATCTATGAAAAAGTTATGGACCTGACACAAAATATACCCTGTAATAGACTATGTTAATCTTTGACCTCCAAGTGTGACCTTGACCTTGGAGGTAGGTGACCGGTTGTTGTGCATGACACATCGTCTCATTATTGAGAACAAATGTGGCAAGTATTAACAAAATCCCTTCAAAGATAAGAAAGTTATGGACCGGACAAGACATAAACCATCAAATAGACAATGTTGACCTTGAATGAGCAAGTGCGACCTTGACCCTGGAGGTAGGGGTCAGGTTGTTGCGCATGACACATTGTCTTATTTTAACAAACATTTGTGCCAAGTTATTTCAGATTCCTTTGATAAATGACAAAGTTATGGACCGGACACGAAAGTGTGACGGACGGACAGACAGAGGAACGTACGTACTCGCAAAATGGTACTTATGTGACTTTTCCTTTGATCTTTTTGGCCATTTTTAGTCACACAAGGCTTAAAAAAAGACACACAAGTAAAAACAGAATGAATAGGATCAAAGAGAATTTACTGTTTCCCATTGTTCTCCAAGTCACACAAGTACCTCTAGGTTCGTACGGACAGACGGACGGAGCCTTTTACTATATCCCCCTTTTTTCTTCCAAAAGGCGGGGGACAATAAAAATTAGTTTCATAATGGGCAAAAATATATACTAATTGACACTTAATCTATTAATATGTCACAGTTTAATTTATGATTGTGTCATACCAACTTTCATTTATGATAAGGTCGCATTTCCTTAAAAGTCTATTTTGTATTATACTACCTATATTTTGTTGATGTGCCAACTACCTTTAATTCATTATTGTATCACACTAACTTTAATGTATTATTGTTTCACACTACCTTTAATCTGATATGTAAAATTAAATCCCCTGTACTCTTCAAAGTAATCACTATGGAAAACAACATTTAGCCAGTTTGAAGAGCTCTCTATTAGATATGGTGGGGGATTTAGTCCATAGTATGTTCCAATAACTTTGTATGTGCTATCTGGGCCATCATAAACTCTGACATAGTCTGTATTAGCCTCACTCTCCAAGTAAAACGCTACTACTCTAAGCTGTATGGTTGAACTTGATCCAGAACCCTAGTGCCAAAGAAAATAAGACATATAACACAGTGCAACATCTAGGACAGGAATGGAAAATAGATACACACTAGTAGTATGCTTTCAGTGTGTCTAATAATTATTAGCTAGTTTTATAGAATTCTCTAAATATAGAACTGTATCAAAATTCAAATAATTGCTTGTAAGACAGTAGGCTCCATTGTTTTCAGTGCCAGACAGAAATCAAATGTATGCAAACGGTTGAACTATTAATTCACCTTCATTGTTAAATAATAATCGATATTGGAAATCAAACTAGTAATATACAAAAACCAGGCAAAATCAGCATTCATGAAAACAATTATGTGACCAAGGATGCTCTAACATATCTACACCATTTGCATCAATGACCATAATTACATGACTATATATATGCCACTAAAATGAGCTTACCTGTTTGTGTATAACCCAGGAACAACTTGAATGTTGAGGATATAAACTAGGAAAATTTGGTGAAGCAAACCAACCAACAGATTCTTCTAATCTTCTGTTACATACGCTGTCACCTAAACCAAATATAATGTACACATTATATTTCCTACTTAAAAACTTGATTAACAAAGTTATAAAACTAGTTTTATTATCATAGCTCACTGGATTGATAATATCTGTCATATGTTGTTAATTTACACATAATTTTTCATCAATTCTTTTGTGATTTGTTAAAACTAAAATTAAACAAACAAGCAGTGAGAAAAATTAATCTCAGTTTATGAAGAGTAAAACATGTACAATGCTGTATGAAAACATGTGTTCAAATGATAGAAGAAAGTTTGCCTAAACAGAAATCATTTCTGCGCGATCAAAAAATCGTGAATAATTTCTATTCGCAAAAATCGCAAATATTTCCACGTCAAAAATTAACCACATATACACTAAGCCAAAATGACTTCATTTTAACTGGGTTCGTTCATAAAATGTGCTAAAATGAGTATAAAGATTTAATAACTCTTCATACCACACATATCAGGGTTCTCATCAGCTCCATTAGCACAGTGTTTGACACCGTCACATCTATACATATTGTGTAAACATCTATACTGACGATACTCTATCACATAACAATAAATCTCCTGATAACCACATGTCACAGATTGTGGTTTCATGGTTGTAGTAGACAGTCTATGACGGGCTGTAAATAAACGTAATTTATGACTGTATGATCAGCAAAATTAACACAAGTATCTAAATGATCTCATGTTCATTGCGTTAAAATTCAACTGATGTACATATCAATTAATTAAAATAAATTCCAGAAAAGCAATTTTTGTAAAACTCCAACAGAGGCTCACTCCTGTATAACTTTATCAAAATCTACAAGGTGGTTGAAGAAGAAATGCCAATTAAGGTTTTTTTTATTTTTAGCTCTGGCAGCCATCTTGTTTATAAGATCAGAACCATTTAAGCATTTTTGTAAGGTCCACAAAAGTATCATTCCTGTACAGTTTCATCATTATTGACAAAGTGACTGAGGAGAAAATGTCATGTAAAGTTATTTTCTGTTTTTAGCTCTGGCAGCCATCTTGTTTATTACACTGAATCCAGGGTTTCTTCCCCAGGATTTTGGGAACATGACTCATGCACATAAAATTGGGAAATTGAGTGATGTTTTGTTAAAAATTTGGAAAAAAAAATGCATGACTTAAATTTTGCAGTGATTAAATGAATGCAAAGAATCATCTAGGATGGCATCCCTCCATAACAGTGAAGAAGCCCGGATTTTCAAAGATTTCAAAATTTGTTTCTCAATATTTTCATTTTCTAACTTTCAATTGGGAATTTTTTCCTGTGGATTGGGAAAATAATATACTATTTTCAATTAGGAATATGACCAAAATATTGACTTTAAAATAAGCCCCCAAAAAAATCCCTGAAATCATTTCAGCAAATTGTAAGGAAGTCCACAAAAGCATCAATCCTGTATAGTTTCATTACAATTGGCCGAAAGGTTTCGGATAAGATATTGTTTAAGAAAAACACTAACAATAATTGCCAGACACAGCGGTATCACAATAGTTCACCTTGTGCACTTCCTGCTCTGGTGAACTAAATTACCAACAATATGCTTCATTTACACAAATCTTTTTTATGCATTATTACATTCCAGAATAAGAAATTCAGTAATCATTACCACACATAAACTGGTTTTCATCAAGATTGTTGCGACAATGAGGGATTCCGTCACACACGTATTTGAAGGGTAGACAAATGGACTTGCCATACATTGTTACATAACAATCAAAACAAGATGGGCCTTTTGTAGCTGGGGCTCTAGTTGTTGTTGTCGTCGGTTTTCTGTTAACAGCTGAAAAGCAGTTGTTAGGTTTCTGATTTGATTGTTACTATATATAACATACTTTAGATATCATTTGAGCTACAAAAAAAATGTCAAATATGAATTTAAGCACAAAAAGTATGTTCAGTGAGTTTGTATTCTCACTGCACTTAAGATTTTATGTTACAGACTTTCTTTTTGTGAAAGATTTATGGAGATTGTCCTTAAAAAACTCTAAAAAATAGGCTAAGAACAAACTTTATAGGCTAATGATGTGACTGAGGTTTTTTTTTTCATCCAAACATCTGAGTCAATATTTCTGATCTCATGTTTCTGTGCCTCCTTATCAAACTTGTAACATGGAGTCACACTTCACAATTATATACATGTATTTACCAGTTTCATAGATATTAAAAATATACTGGAACAGACTCTTATGAATTTATTACAAAAATGATCCAGGTGTGAGGATGCCTACATCAAGGTGAGTAGAACAGTTCTCCCTATATGATCAAATATCAGTCACAATTATAAAACATATTTACCAGTAGTTTTATCACACAAGTATTCGTCTTCACCAAATCTACACTCCTTTACACCATTACACTTCCAACTCTCTGGTATACATTCTTTATCAATTATACATCGAAAATTGCAACTTTTGCTTGAGCCTAAAATTACAAATGAATTTTAAGGTTATAAGATATTTCAAGCTGCTACTTATTCAAAAACACTTGTAAAAACACAATACATGTCATATATATATACATGTACAGTATATTGTAAATTATTAACATTTTCCTATAATATCATAACTTGCATTTTCACAACACATACTTCTTTGTCATATTTGAGATCTATAAGCCATGGATGCCCCCACTATATATTAGAATAATTATGAATAAAGATGTATGACAGGACAGCATAGTTGGTTTTTCATAAATCTTTTTGCAATAAAAGACCTTTCAAAGTAATGACAGATGACTCTGTTGATAAAAACATTTTTTTAGTATTCACAAGACATAACTTTTTAAGTGGCAGAGCACATATTTCTCAGTTAATCCTTTACTGGAGCATAAAAATGGAAAAATAAACAAGAGGGCCATCATGGCCCTGAGGTCGCTCACCTGTATATAGCCCCCCCCCCCCCCATAAAAAAATGTTTCATGCTAAACATCTAAGCTCTAGATCATTGGGCTTTTCAAAAGAAGATTTTTTTAAGTTTTTACTATACACATATAGTTAAAAACAATGACACCCCTGGGGCAGGGCCGGTTTTGACCCCAGGGCTTTTATTTGAACAAACTTTGTAGACACTCACTAGAAGATGTTTCATGCTTAATATCTAAACTCTAGCTATTTGGGTTTTTCAAGGAAGATTTTAAGTTTTTGCTATACACATATAAGGAAAATCAATGACCCCGGGGCGGAGCCAATTTAGACCCCAGGGCTTTTATTTGAACAAACTTGGTAGACACTCATTAGAACATGTTTCATGCTAAATATCTTAGCTCTAGCTCTTTGAGTTCTTTAAAAGAAGATTTTTTAAGTTTTTACAATATGCATATAGGGAAAATCAATGACCCCCTGGGGCGGGGCCAATTTTGACCCCAGGGCTTTTATTTGAACAAACTTGGTAGACACCCATAAGAAGATGTTTCTTGCTAAACATCTAAGCTCTTGCTCATTGGGCTTTTTAAAAGAAGATTTTTTAAAGTTTTTACTATACACATATAGTTAAAAACAATGACACCCCTGGGGCGGGGCCAGTTTTGACCCCAGGGTTTTTAATTGAGCAAACTTTGTAGACACTTACTAGAAGATGTTTCATGCTTAATATCTAAATTCTAGCTATTTGGGTTTTTTCAAAGAAGATTTTAAGTTTTGGCTATACACATATAAGGAAAATCAATGACCCCCAGGGCGGGCCAATTTTGACCCCAGGTCTTTTATTTGAACAAACTTTGGAGACACTCACTAGAAGATGTTTCATGCTTTATATCCCAACTCTAGCTATTTGGGTTTTTTCAGAGAAATTTTTTAAGTTTTTGCTATACACACATAAGGAAAATCAATGACCCCCGGGGCGGGCCAATTTTGACCCCAGGGCTTTTATTTGAACAAACTTGGTAGGCACTCATTAGAACATGTTTCATGCTAAATATATTAGCTCTAGCTCTTTGAGTTCTTTAAAAGAAGATCTTTAAGTTTTTACTATATGCATATAGGGAAAATCAATGACCCCCTGGGGCGGGGCCAATTTTGACCCCAGGGCTTTTATTTGAACAAACTTGGTAGACACTCATTAGAACATGTTTCATGCTAAATATCTTAGCTCTAGCTCTTTGGGTTCTTTAAAAGAAGATTTTTTAAGTTTTTACTATATGCATATAGGGAAAATCAATGACCCCCTGGGGCGGGGCCAATTTTGACCCCAGGGCTTTTATTTGAACAAACTTGATAGACACTCACTAGAAGATGTTTCATGCCAAATATCTAAGCTCTACCTCTTTGGATTTTTTAAAAGAAGATATTTTAAGTTTTTTCTATCGGTTGCCATGGCAACCAGAGTTCTGCATGGAATTAAATTCTTTGAACATTCCTGTGAAGTTTGGATGAAATTGGCTCAGCGGTTTATGAGGAGATGTCATTTAAAGTAAAAGTTTACGGACGCCGAACTGACGGACGAAAAGCGATCACAAAAGCTCACCCTGTCACTTTGTGACAGGTGAGCTAAAAACACTGCCAGTTTTTTAAGAATTGATTGACTTAATTTGACCCATACTAAAAAATATAGTTTTCAATGCACATTATGTTTTTTTACTTCAAACTAGACATACTCAGTTTGAATTTCCTAGACCTCAATAATTTTCTGCAACTTGGTATTTTAAGCAAAGATGACTTTAATAAATTTTTAACATCAATCATCTTTTAGTAACACTTACTTGTTATATATTCTAATGCAAATTGGTATGGAAAAAATCTGTTTCCTGTTTGAGAGCCTATCACATATTTAATCCAAATATGGTCCCTGGTTGAGCGATACATGACTGGAGAAGTTGGAAAGTCTTGTGCATGTGTCTTGCAGTAGTCCAAATAAGGGAGTGGTCCTAATATCAGGTTATATCCAGCTGAACAAAATCCTTCACCATATGATGAAAATGATATCCTGAATTATGTAAAACAATAGAATCAATAATGCTGAACATTTTTCTAATCTTTTCATATTATAAGATTCAGGAACAGAATATTTCATATAAGGTAATCAAGACAAATCCAATATAATTTTTACATCTACAACAATGTATTTTGCAGTTAATTCCCACAATTCTTTGATTGTCATCTTTTTTCATTTTTTTCATAATTTATTACCATTACCATTACACTGTTAATGTAATAATTTTTTAAGTCTATCATGTTAGCCCTATTGAAATATCAACATATCCCACCAGTGACCTTATTGTAATGTCAACATATCCTACCTTATTGTAATGTCAACATATCCTACCTTATTGTAATATCAACATATCTTACCTTATTGTAATGTCAACATATCCTACCTTATTGTAATATCAACATATCCTACCTTATTGTAATGTCAACATATCCTACCTTATTGTAATATCAACATATCTTACCTTATTGTAATGTCAACATATCCTACCTTATTGTAATATCAACATATCCTACCTTGGCTTATTGTAATGCCAACATATCCCACCTTATTGTAATGTCAACATATCCTACCTCATTAAAATGTCAATATAGCCTACCTTATTGTAATGTCAACATATCCTACCTTATAATGATGTCAATATAGCCTACCTTATTGTTATGTCAACATTTCCTACCTTATTGTAATGGCAACATATTCTACCTAGCCGTAATGGCAACATATTCTACCTAACTTTCATGGCAATCAGTGTTGCATCTAGAATTTCAAAATTATGGGGGATTGTCCCCCACTCAACTGAAAAATGTGGGGGACTTGAAAAAAATGTGGGGGACATACATTTACCTTACACCTGCTTACACTACGACTCATCGAAAAGAATTCATTTATTTTACGTTCAGGCATTTTTGACAGCTATCGTCCGCTCAAAAACGGAAGTAGAAAAAATAAAATATTGACGAATACTACAAAACACACGCGAGATGACCCAGTCGGCTGCTACACGCTTTTTAGTACGTATTTTAGTCATCACCACAAGTGAAAACAAACATGGCTGAAGCTTTCAAGACGCGATGAAGATAAACTGAATAAAGTTAAAAAATTGTCAGATGCGCGACTTGGCGCGCGTTGACTTCATTAAAATGCGCGATCTGCATAAAATATGCGCAAATCACGCAATCGCGCGTCCTAGATGCAACACTGGGCAATGTAATCTGTACCTAATTGTAATGTACATAATTATACTTTATTGTAAGAGTAACATATCCTGCTTCATCTAATATGTCCCTCATTCAATTGTATTCTACTTTATTGTTATGCCATCATATCTTACTTTATTGTTACGGTAACATATCCTACCTTCTTGTAATGTCATCTTATCCCACCTTCTTGTAATATCAACATATCCCATCTGTTTTATTGCAATATCAACATATCCTGCCCTATTTTACATGTATATATCTATCATTCTAAAGTATCCTAGTTTTTCCTACCCCATTAAAAAGCCAGAATATCCTACCTTTATATTGTAATGTCATCATATGATCCTTCATGTACCTTGATGTATTCATATCATCATGCTCTGTCTTATTGTAATTTTACCTTTCTCATAAATCCTACCTTATTGTTTATATGTAAACTCATCCTGTCATACTCATGATTAACAGTTTCATCAATCCATCATTTTTTATCTTATAATAATGTCACTATGTTTCTATTGCCTTGGTTTGCTATCCATCTTATTGTTGTGTCATTATTCTTACCTCACTGTTATAGAATCATTTACTTCCCCCTGAATACTCCACAGCTGACAATCTAGGAAATCATGAAATTTTGCGTCAGTACTTTCAATACGGCCATACTTGTCCTGTACTTGAATTACCCTTTTATCTGAGCATGGATCTATAATGAGATAAGACAGTTGAGAAATGTTTCAAAGACTTAAGTTATCATGTATTACATTGTATGTTTGTATGTATCAAATTCTCTACAACCTAGCAACGGTTATTATACAATAAGTAGGCCAAGAAAGCCATGCATTTCTCGTCTGAACAAATATTTGATTTCTTCACAACTTGAGGTTGTTCAAATGTTTTAACATCTCAAACTTTGATAGTCCCTAATTTAGTGATGAAATATTCATTGGCAAATGTATATTAGTTGCTTGTCATCATTTCTACAGCAGTGACTAATAAGGCAAAAAAATATTATTCAAAGTTTTAAATTTATTCTCAAATCTGAAGATACATGATGCTATAGAAACAAAATAAGTGGCAATCAAATCTTTTAAAACATACCTGCATTCTGTGCTTTATAGGAGTCAAAACAACCTGAAAGTACATTAAATTTTACACTTTCATAATGCTGGAATAATATCATCATGTCAATTTTGTCATAAGTGTTTATTTGTCCAAAAATGAATCAAATCTTTAAATAAATAACAAAGTTAAGACAATTTAAGGAAATTTCATTAATTTGGCCATGACGGTAATTGTCAATTAAAGGTCAAAAAGACAAAGTCATCAGAATAATTAAACATTTTGGGTTTAATCATATGTGTTCTTTTGTTCAAGTTTAAAATCATAAAAATGTAAGCAAATTTCTCTATTTTGATCCTAAGGAAGGTGAAATCTTTTCTCTGCACATCGTCTTATTATGGTAAACATTTCTGCCAAGTAGTTTCAATTTCCTTCCACCAGTTTATAAGATAAAGACAGGACACGAAACCTGCTAACAGATGGATTGATGACCAGGTGCATAGCATTATACGCTGAGATTTTTTCAGGCATTTAATAAAGAACCTAAGACACATAATCCCATTTAATTTATCTCTCAACGGAAATCGGATTTTAATCTACCATCTTTAATAGCAACCGGTACAGGTAAACATTAACCCTTTCTATTTCTAGTCTCCTTAGGTCTCTAGACCTGCAAATAATGGAGACCAGCAGATGAGCTACAGTACAGCTTCGACAATTTTCCCAAAATCTGCCGATAATCGCAATTTTTTTACAGTTGGATAGTCACCGCAACATATCTGTGACATTTATGACTTTCAACTCATCACCCAATAAGGTGAAATTCGCGTTGCAGGATATTGTCACTGTGGATCACTGTGAAATATCGCAGTAACATTAAGCTATTGAGTGACCATTACTTGACCTTTGGGGTAGCAAGCCAATTATTGCCCTCTGCACATGTTTTTATAATGGTGATCAATCGTGCCAAGTTAATTTTTTTTAATTTTCAGTGGTTAACAAGTTATGGAGCAGAGACAAATGTAGACTTTTTATCATTTGAACTTAAAGTGTGACCTTGACCTTTTGGGTTGCAACCCAATTATTGTGCTCTGCATGTCGTTTAATAATGGTAATCAGTTCAATGTGCCAAGTTATTTAATAAAAAATTTCAGCGGTTTAAAAGTTATGGAGCAGACATGCAATGTACACTTTTTATTATAAAATGAAGACTTTTTAACATTTGACCTTTAAGTGTGACCTTGACCTTGGGGGTAGCAACCAAATTTTTGTGTTCTGCACATCGTCTCATTATGGTGATCACTCATGCCAAGTTATTTCAAAATTTTTTTAGTCACTTAAAAGTTATAGAGCGGACACAGAAGTGTTACGGACGGACAGACGGAGGCCATTGCTACAATCCCCTTTCGGCTACACGGAAGAGGATTAAAAAATTATTTGTTTTTGTTTCAGATAATCAACTATTGTTGAAATTCCATAGTTCTTAAATACACAAAACCACTCACAAACAAAGCATCCATACATAAATGAAATGTTTCCATTGTTAAATTACATGCACAAAATTTCAAAAAATTTCTTACGAGATGACCACTGACAAGTGACTTGTCGCCTCTTCAAAAGAATTTGTCAATCTTTGATGTTAACAGTTACACAAATGTAGTCACACACATGTTTATACATATACACTTACAGATGAAATGATGGCTGTTATTTAAGCAATAGATAAATGTAAGTGTTATTGGTTTTTTTTAACAAGACTACAATATACATGTATGTGAACATTTATATGAGGTATTGTTCACGTCGAATCTCTTTGAGTTTGATTTTCCACCATGAATAATGGGGATTTTTTTACCTGTCTGCGGTGATTTGTTGCTGTAACTGACTATAGTATGTCCCCGCGATTTTCCGCTCATGGGTAAAAGTGTCTGCAGTGACATAGCAGATGCAAAAATCACTTGAGCTGTACTGTACACTTTTATATCATTAATCATTCTCTCTCAGTTATAAAGCAGTCATTTCAATTGTTTCAGTATAAATTTTAAAGTATTTATATTGTCTCTAATATTTGCCCATCTTGAGAGACAGGATCAACCATATTCATTTTCATTAGTTATCTTGGAATTATTTTTTTACCACAGACGAAGAGTTTCCTTAAGTTTCAAAATTTGGAAGTCAGAGACTGCAAAATGTCTGACATTGGACTGAAGTCACATTATTTAAGTAAAGAAGGAAAAACATTACATTGCAAACCGTATGCCAAAGGAAAAGATTACAATAGTAACAATACAAATGTAGAATTAATCGCTGGTCAGTGTGCCTGTTCAGAGAGCTGTCAGGGAGTAAACTTTTTTGATAAATAAATTTTTATATAAATTCTAATGATTTTTTGAGGGCCTACAAGATGTTTCTGATATTAATGTTGTAATTGGTTGAAACTAGCAACAGTGTTGGCAGGATGGATATGGCTTGCTAATAATTTTCAGTGCATAAAAATCACAGTAAAGATGTGTAAACTGTAACAATTTGACAATTAGAAAAAACAGTTTAAATTAAACTTAATCATAGTTTTTCATATGACAGCTTCTTGGATGTCTTAACCATAACGGCGATTTTTTTCCTTCGTAGAAAAAGGTAAAGGTAAATGAAGCGTGAATTGTTTGAGCCATTAAACTTTAAGGGCTCAAACCATTCGGAAAAGAGTCAACTCGGCCCTATACAAACTCGGCCCACTTTACAAAAATATATATAACGTATTAACTTTGCTTTGCATGTTGTTAAGGTAAACGAATAATAAGAAATATCTTATTATTATATAATTACACATTGTACTTCTTCTGAAAAAAGTATATTTAGAAAAAATGTTATTTATCTGTCTTGCAGATTCGATAAAACTAATATTGATCTAGATTCTAATAAAATGTGTTTGTAAAGTAATATTTAAAACAAAATGAAACAAAAACGTGTTTACTTAATATCATAAGCTTCTAATTAAATCTTCCGTATAAGTGCATTGATTATTGCCGAAATTCATTTACACGTGTCATACAGTTTTTTTTCTTCTATCAAATAGAAAGACCTTGTTTGTGCATTATCTAGTTAAAGTAATAAAGAACAGAAGTTAAATATGTAGAAATACAGTGAGATACGCAATTGTTTATCTTTACTCGCAATTCTACTGATAAGAAAAGCTTGTCTGCTGCTAGTTCCAAACCGTCAATCCATATTATAAATAATTACAATAATTACAATAAATAGTGTTAACACAAACCTAAATATTAATAATTGAAAAGTGGGCTGAGTTGACACGTGCCGAGTTGGAATAGGGCCGAGCTGACTCGGGGGCCGAGTACGTTTCAGGGCCGAGCTGACCCGGATTCAAACCATTCACGCTTCATCTACCTTTACCTTTTTCTATGAAGGAAAAAAAATCGCCGTTATGGTTAAGACATCCAAGAAGCTTATGAAAAACTATGATTAAGTACAAAAAAATAAAGGGAAGAAAGTAAGAAACAAACAAACCTGCCAGAGTCAAGAAAGCGAAAACAAGCGAAGACTTCCTGATTGGTATTAAACACATTATCATTTTATAGTAACATATCTTTATTTTCTATTTTGAAAAATCAGTCTCGTGTAGACTGTCAAACAGAATTACAAAATTATGTTATTCATCTCGTTGAATTGTTTCTTTATATCAAATTCTTAATAAAAGATATGCCTTAACTTTCTTATTTATTTTTTTACTTTACAATTTCCGGATAACCTTGGTGAATATCGGAAACTAAGCTAAAGATTTCTTAAAAGCGGAAAGATTCGTCTACGTATAAAGAAAATTTAGAGTGCATTGATCAGTTTCAGCTTGAATTTTACAAAATTATACTTAATCTCAAGCAAAGTACTCCCATTTGTATGTTTTACGGTGAACTTGGAGTTACTCCGATATCGTTGCAAATAAAAAGAAGAATTACTTATTAGGTGTAAGCTTTTAAATGGTAAAAATGATAAGATTTGTAATATTTGATATTAAGACTGCGTACTCTGTACATATGTATATTTTTGATATAGAAATGAACAATTGGTTAAGTCAATCTATACCTAGTTCGCTTTTATTAAAATTTCTAAAGTCTTGTTAAGTCTAAACTTCGAGATCAGTTCATCCAAATTTGCAACAGTGCATGAGGTCCAATCTTTGAGCAAATGTTAAAACTACCGTTTATATAAATCAGAGTTTGTATTCGAAGATTATTTAAACATACTTCATTGGCATCTGTCTTTACCTTTGTTAAAATCTAGATGTATGAATCATAAAATGCCAATATAGAAAGGTAGATTCCTTACTTTAGAGAGAAACTTACACGTGTATACTGTAGGTGACGAATTTAACTATCTCTTTTATTGTGCACATTTTGTTAAAAGTAGACTTAAATTTATTAAACCGCATTATTATAGGTATCCTGATACATTGAAATTTGAATAGTAAAAACAAATCACATTAAAAAAATCTACTCTTTGTTTTTTGTAAAGAAATAATTACAACATGCAAATAATCAATAAGTACGCCATTGTATAATTAGTCTCCTGGAAAATTTTGTAAACGAAGCATAAATTTCGGTTGTTATGAAGAATCTAGACATATCTTTATTTTATTTTATGGTTATATAATTGTCACTCATTGTCCTGTTTTAATATATATTTTTTTTCTTCTGTTTTCCGGTTGTTACATGTCACATATTATTATGAGCCATGACATGCAGTATTGAATCAATGTTCAGTACTTACATAGTTAGATCAATGCTCGACATAACATTGTTACAAAATTTTTAAGTTTTAGAACGAGCAAAAAAACAGTAACTGACTTTCTGATTACTCTTTGATCTTCAGCATGGATTCAGAGAAAGACGATCATGTGAGACACAACTCATTGAACTTACTGATTACCTTGTGAACAACCTTTCAAATGGCAAACAAACAGATCTCATACTTCTTGACTTCTCCAAAGCTTTCGATAAAGTAAACCATCTTAAACTCTTAGATACCCTGCAAGAACATGGTGTTTGTCCTCAAATTCTAAACTGGATACAGTCATTCCTTATTGGCCGTAGACAGACTGTAGTTGTGGATAGTGACTGCTCATCTGAAGTCCCAGTTACCTCTGGAGTGCCCCAAGGCTCGGTCCTAGGGCCCCTCTGTTTCCTTCTATATATCAACAAGTTACCATCTTCTGTCCTCAAATCCCAAGTCAGATTATTTGCAGACGACACTGCTGTATACCTAACCATCAATTCCTCCTCAGACCCCCCAACTCTCCAACATGATCTAGACAATATGGTTCTGTGGGAGAAGCAGTGGGACATGGAGTTTAACCCTTCAAAATGCCAAGTCATCCATATCACCAAAAATAAGACCATAATTAAACACAAATATATGCTCCATGGCCAAGTCCTAGAGTCTGTTACAAATGCTAAATATCTCGGACTAGATCTATCTGCTGACCTTAAATTTAATACACATATATCTCGAATAACTTCCAATGCAAACAGATCCCTTGGCTTTATTAAAAGAAATGTCATCACTAAAAATGAGAAAGTAAAAGAACTAGCATACAAGTCCCTGGTCCGCCCACAGGTTGAATATGCCTCATCTATTTGGTCTCCTTATACTAAAACCAATATTGACAAAGTTGAGATGATCCAGAGACGTGCAATAAGATGGGTTAAAAGGGATTACTCCCCTCACTCTAGTGTCACAGCCATGCAGGAAGAACTGGGCTGGCGATCCCTTGAACATCGCAGATTGGACTGTAGACTGATAATGTTTTATAAGATATACCATAACCTAGTTGCAATTAATCTCCCAACTTATGTTCAAACCCCACATAGATTAACCAGACATATGCATCCCTTATCCCTACGTCAAATACAGGTATCCTCCGACTACCATAAGTACTCTTTCTTCCCTCATAGAATTATACTATGGAATAAACTTCCTAGTAACATTGCCACCCTGCCCAACCTGAGTCAGTTCAAACAGGCAGTGGTGGGTTTGCAGTACTAGTCTTACTCCCAGTGTTTTTAAACTATTTTATCTCTTATCATCTTGTTTCACTATTAACATTTTAACCATGACTAGAATACATTTTCAGTCTCACCTTCCAAGCATGTCAATGTTTGGACTTTTCTTTTTAGCTTTTCTCTTCACCTTTTACTAACAATCCGACGTGCACTAAATTCCTGCCTTTAACACTCGTAAGAGGGGTTGGCAGTATCCAGAGATAGATAGATAGTAATTTTATGATGTTATGAAAAAAATAGTGTACATCTTATAATCAGCTCAAATCGTTATTCTTTGGAATGGACCTTAATACTGGTCAATGTTTTGTGTCGGGTAAGGCGCATGGACAGATAGACTGATGAGCAAATTTTGTTACTTCTTATTGTTTCTTTTTATTTTTGCAACTGCATATATCATTTGTCAGTCATTTGTATTTGCTTATTTAGTTGATTTGTTTAGCAATTTTTATTTGCTAGATTTTCAGTACATGTAATTCTGTATTTCTTATCTTATATACATGTAGGGGCCTATATGATTAATTGAACTGGAAGTTATATTTTGTGTGATTCTGATTTGCAATATACATTGTATAGTATTGTATTGTACTTTAATCCATTGAATTTAGTCTTTAACATTATTATCAAATTTTGCTTGTTATAAATGTGTTTTTTCTTATAATTATTTCTATGTGTTTCATTAACCATATCGCCATAATATTATGTTATTTTAACATGCTGTACGTGCTTACATATATATGTTGTTCTCTTGTTATACCCGTCTTTATAAAATAAATATTTTTTGATCTGACATGATTTACATTCAAAACAAATATGACGTTTTACAGAGCTTCTGTTTGGTATAATTGAACGCTATCTTACCAATGCTCGATATAAAAGTAATGTGAAACTACTCGGTGTCGGCCTGGTAAATTTTCGTATTCTTTGTTCTACAGTAAATCAGTCACATTTGAGGCTTAATTCTGGATTCCACTGTTCTTGATGAATTATATACTGTCTTCAACTTTAAACATCAACACTATCTAAGTCAAATGAGGCCCAAAATATAATAGGTTAGCCATCTACTTTTTTCAGAAATCTTATTCTGTTTTAACACTTTGAAAACTCCCGACTGCTGGTGGGTATTACATTTTTAACCCTTCCGCCAACAAATGAGTTCCTGGAGAATACACAAAAACAGCTTTTAAAGTCATTATATAACACACAAAAACTACACACGTGCAATAAATACACTTTAATTATGACCAATCTAACTATCTAGAGATGACTTAAATTGGGCCACTTCAAAATTTTAAAGAACTACTTTCTAGACTAAACGGGTTGGATCTAATTCCGTACCGGATTGAGACCACTCATGGTGTGATAAAGCAGCAAAAATACGGAAGCATAAACGCATACATTTCTGTATCACTAAATGATAGATTTTCATGACTTCTAGTGAAAATCAACAAACGTGTCTTAACCAAAATAGCGCCAAAAACGACTATTTATAAGAAAAGGCGTAGTAATACAAATACTATGGAAACTGTCAAGCATGAAATTAACCTTTAACCTAACAAGGACCAATCAGAAAGCCTGTTATATATCTATAATTAAAAGATTTTATTTAGCAACAAAATGCTTCATTTTGTTGTTGTTATGATTTGCATGCTTTATTTGGGATTTTCTCTGATACATTTTCTATCTCTATCAATGGGCTTCAATTCTAATCAATATATTTTACGTGATTTGAAATTGAAGGTCACGTTGATGTTACAAAAATGGCAAAGAGAAGTTTCTACATGATCACGGAGGGGAAGGGAACAAAGGAAACAAAATGTGAAAATTACAGATTTGTTTTGAATTTCTAAACGAAGCTTTCTTTCAAAAATTTCAATTTGCTGTTATATTGTAGATTATATATCGGAATTATAAAATAGATAAATACAGAATCCCTAAAGAAAGCCCAACACGGCAAAATTGAAAATGTTGCAGGCTCGGTTTGATTGAGCCTGTTCATGGACGGTAATGGACAGTGCAAATTACCGTCCATGCCCCCTAGCAACGGCTTAAGCAGAATTCAACATTAAAACATGATATAGTAAAATTTTGAATTTAGAAACATCCGCAGATGTGTTCATACGGCGGCTATCATGGAACCTTCAATGTGACACAGTAGTGCCATTCCAAGAAAAGCGGCGTATGGTCCCCAAGTAATAGAAAGCGTGTGCCCTAAACGAGAAAACAATGGGCGGAACTAAATAAAATGGAATTTTGAAAGGGGATCAGAGGTTATGAAGCCTGCGTATCACAGATAAGACGTCAAAAGACAAATTTAAAAAGCAGGCAACATATCCTAAGGGTGATTCAACATTATTCAAGTAGGAATATTGGAACTCAAGTAGGAATATATGAAGTCACTTTCAATACAGTATTGTGAACAGTGCGAATGCACATTTCAAGTGAGTGTATGACGCTGAATAAGCTTGTATAGACCCTTTCATTTAAGACCGGATTCAAGTTGTCGCCATTGGATGACGTCAATAGGAGATATGGTTGACATTGCTGATACGACTGAATACATTAATAAAATGATATAAAGATCTTAATTCTTGCTCTTGTAAGATGGGCAGATTGAAAGTGCAAAACTATTGTGTAATTGAATAAGATAGTACATAAAAAGGTTAGTCAAATGAATAAAATGTTTATCATAATAAGGTTAACG